AGGACCATGTTAAAGGATAACATTTGTTTGGATTGTAGACTTTCTGGGGTGTTTGTTTATATAAAGCCAGGCTCATTAGTTTATAGTCACACCTCTTAGACGTGCCCTGAACCGGTCCCAGCACCAACACGATCCTTCGACTACTGCAGAAACTAGTGGTGCATCCTGACAAGTCGGCCAAAATTCTAACACTGGTGTCTGCACCACACTCGCACGACAGCCACTCGGCAAGTAACTGCACACAACTAAGGCTGGGCGACATCTCCTAGTTCCAGAGGCAATGTCCGAGAGAAAGTGAGCGAGTTCACAGAGAAACACAGGAAGGGTCTGCAGAGAAGGGAGAACAAGGCTGTAGAAAGGGCAGAGAGACTAAAGATGAGGAGCATTCCATCATTCTTACTGGTCCACATTATTCAACAGTATAAAGCTGAAAACAGTCAGGCTCCATTTACAACCAAATTCTACAACAGTACCTGGAAAATAACAACGTGACAATAGCAAGAGGTACTCCCAGGTATAAATTACTGAAAGACTTACAGGTATTTCCCACACATTGTGTATACACTATACATGTAACTCATATGTGTGTCTATGTGCCTGAATCCAATGCCTGTAATTCCCAGCAGCCTAACACAGGGGCATTCAAAATTTCACCTGAAAATGTCTGAGCACCTACTATGTGTCAGGTACTGGGCTCGAAAGACAGACAAAATCCATATGAGTGACCCCATCTGCACATGGTAGGTATCCAAAAAGAACTCATTTCTTTATAATTACTGTTTATAGACCCTAGATGATCCCAAATAAATAGCAGCCACAGAGAGGCAAGGAGCTCACTGATGACTCAGCACATTCCTCCTGGAGACCACTGAACTGGGATTGGAGAGTGGGGGCAGGACATGAGTTAGTCAGAATAAGGGAAGGGCCTATGACTGGGGACTTTCACTAAGGGAGATAAGTCTTTCTCAGATAGCATTTGTCCCATTGAGCAGGAGTCACGGCAACTGGGATACTGACTGGCTGGAACCATCAAATGCAGAGCCCCTGGGTGTCCCTACATTAGCTGTCCCAGCTCCAGTCCTTTCAGAGTCTCTGCCAGTTTCCTGAGCTCAGCACACCAGTCCGAGTGGAAGTACTTGGGATTCTACTTTCATAATAGCTGATACTATCTTCTAGAAGGAAAGAGTATTATTTTGCTGCTTGCCTAAAGGTGGGAAGAACAGAAAAAAGTCACTGAATAAACACAGTAGATGGATCTAATAAGCAGGTGGGGTTCTGCATATATTTAACCTTGGGGCGGTATGCAAGTTCCGGTGGCTACTTCCGGAACTTTCCCTATGAATAAGGAAAGAGTACCTGGTTGAGTTTCAAGCCATATTTGTAAGGAACACCTCGATATAGCATTGTGATTCAGGGGCTAAAGACTGGAAGACATGCCTGACCAATGGTTTAGAGTTAAGTCCCTAAACTCATCTGTGTCTTTGTGATTCCTGCAATGAACCGTGGTGGATCACAGAGGACTTGCTTCTGAGTTGTGCTGGGATTCTTGGTTGGCAGCGTGAAAAGAGTATCGGGCTGGTTTTCAGAAGGGAACACCCAGGGGAAAGGAAGACAGAAAATTCACCCTATTAGAAACTCTGCTCGTTGCTTTGAAAAACTTGACTGGCATGAGAAGAGGAAGCAACGGAGAGTCAGGGAAGGGAAGAATGAGGTGTGACAGTGAGCGTGCTAATGCTTTTACACAAATACCAAAGGATTACAGAGGATCTGGGTTCAAGTCATAGTTCACCACTTCCTGGCTTTGTAGTGTTGGGTGAATTCTGACTTTCCTTATTCTGGTTTCTTCATTGAGCAGAATGAGGTAAGGGACTCCCATTTTACAGGCCAGTTGTGAGGACCAAATGAGGTGATGCAAGCAAAAGGATTTTCACAATGTGTCAAACGCTCTTTGGACTTAAGGCCTCACTGTTATTTTTCTTCTCTTATATCCTGCCTCTGCAACTTTTGGGGAACGATTTGCAGCAGGTGTTTGCTTATCTGGTTCTGGCTGGTGGACCACGGTTTTTCTCCTGGGCTGGCTCACACTCATGCACAGAAGCAATTCTCTTCCTTTTGTACTTGATATATAAAGTGAATTAAAAATCCCTGAAAACAGATTGTGCTTTTCTATCGTGCCTCTCTCTAACAGGCATGGCACCTCAGTGTATAGAAGAGAACAAAGACACACACCAGAGGATTTTAGCAAATGGCACAAAGGGAAAGATGTAAGGGCCCAGCGGCCACAGCCCTCCGTACTGATTATTTGGAAAGGCAGTAAGTTTGCATAGAAGGATCCCAGGCATGGGTGTCCCACAGACCTGGGTTTGAGTCCTTGACATCCCTATTCACTTGCCAGATGTGTGACCTTTGGTTAGTCACTTAACCTCTCAGAATCTGTGCTACTGTAAAAATCAGAGATAATGCTTCACAGTTACTCAATCACTATTCCTTTGCCACCTTTACACATGTGGGAGTCTATACAGGGTACGATCTCCTTGACTTCTTGGGTGGCCAAGGTGACTTAGGTGTCATATTTCCCGGAGGCTAAAACCTGGGTTTATCTCTCATCTTCCTTTACAACTTTGTCATGATGATTGTGGTTATCATGCCAGAGGGAATGAGAAAAACCAGGGACCTTTTGAATGAATTTGCTTTTGGTTTAACTAGATTATTTAGGACGCAGGTTCTTTTATGGAGATTTAATTATGCACAAGGGGACTTGGGGAGATTGGGAGTCTCACTGGTTTCATGGAAAATGCAGAGTTCTTTGTAGCGTCTCAGGTAAGTGGGACTAATGTTTCATCCAGCCCAGTGCAGGCAACATCTGGATGAATGGTTTCCTTGTTCCTATAGAATGGGGCTCAGTCTGCATTCTCTGTGTTCAGACCCTCTGATTCTCTCCCCACCACTCTCTCGCTGGATCTTTGGGGCAGACATTATTGCAATGTAAGTTGGAAGGTAGCAAAGACTTTTCGGTTTCTTCCATCTCTATTTGCCCACCCCTCCGAGCCTCCCATTCCATTAGAAAGAAGCGGCACTTTGATGATGGAGCTCTTACTGCAAAGCCCCAACCCTACTGAACCCAAATCCTCACTCTGACATGAATATGGTGAGCTCAGCATTTTTAAAATAAAGAGTTTCCTGATACAAGGATCTGCCTCTGTACCTAGTCTTTGGGTGGTGGGGGTTTATGAAATTTAGGAGCAGAGATGTGGCCTCTAATTATATATTTGCTTGCTTCTCTTTCAGCCTTCTGGGTCTCACCACTTGGAAGTAAGTGAATCAGTATTAGTGAAAGTAACAGTTTGATGAGTTTACTTTTTTCTTTTAGGAAACATAAAAACTGTGGCTCAGAGCCATTGTGGTCATTGGGTCAGAGAGTTTGTACCAAGGGGAATGCGAGTGCCTACCTCAGAATGTTGCCGTGAGGCTTCAAGGAGTGAATGCATGTAAAGTGCTCAGAATAGTGCCTGGCATTAGCTGAGGGCTCCACAACTTTGTCCTGTCCGCTCCTGGGCTGGCTCTGCCATCGGCCCCAGAGCAGCTCCCCTTGGCAAAGTACTATCAGCTCTACTTCAGAATACATCCAGAAAGAAGCCAGTCCCAACAGACCATACATTATATGATTCCACTTACATGAAATGTCCTGAATGGGCAATCTATAGGAAGAGGAAGTAGATTAGTGTCTGTCTGCTGGGAAGAGTGGGGAGGTGGTTGGGGAGTGAGAGGGTATGAGTAATGAAAATGGTCTAAAAATGACTGTGGTCATGGTTGCACATGGTGTGTATACCAAAAACCACTGAACTGTACACATGAAATGGATGAGTTACATGCACGTGAATTATCTCTCAATGAAGCTGTTCCAAAATACATCCAGAATTCCACCCCTGCTCACCATCAATGTCACTACCGTGCCAGTCCAAGCGTCTGTCTCCTGGCCTCCTAACTGGCCTTCCCAGTTCCACAGTGGCCCCACCACTGTCTATTTGCCACGGAGCACAGTAGCGATCTTTTAAAATGTAAAGCAGAATATGTCATCCATCAGTTTCAGTGGCTCTGCTGTCTCTCCATCCCATTTACGATCAAAGTGAGCATCCTGTCACGGGTGTGAGAGCCGGAATGATCTTCCTCGGTGATCACTCTCCTCCTGGCTGATGTGCTGTGGCCATCAAACATGCAATCTCGTTCCTGCCTGCCTCCACACCTTTCTATTGCCGTTCACTCTGCCTAGGGTTTGACCCCGTATCTCCTTATGGCTCATTCTCTGATATCACGTAGGACCAGGCTCAAATGTTATTACATCAGAGAAGCTTTTCTTGCCCCACCTGTTTAGAATAGTCCCCACTCCATCAATCTCTAGCCACTCACTTTATTTTCTTCATAGCATTCATCATTATTTGAGTTTATAATTTAATTAATCTATTTACTTGCTTATTGGAAGTTTCCTCCACTAGTGTCTAAATTCTATGATAACAGGGATTTTATCTTGCTCACCATGGCATTCCTTGCTCACCATGGTATCCATGGCTCACCATGGCATACCTAGAACAGTGCCCTGTCCTCAGTGTTTGCTGAATGAATGAGTGATTGAATGAAGCCACCATATTGCCTATGGACACAAGACACTAACACACACATACTTAAACTTTTTCTACGTTCCTATTCTATAGCCTCACTTGGTGTGTTTCACATATTTTAAAACTTAGGTTAAATTCTTAGGAGGAAGTTCTTTCCAGGTTCCTGTTCAATTCCACTCAGTGTATTCTGTTTAGAATGTAACTTGATGCCTAGACTGGTTAAACACTGTCACTATTTGCGTGAAAGTCCATGAAAACACATAAAGGCACTCAGAGCCTGTCTTCGTCAACTGTTCTGCTCTAAATGTCAGCAATGGCTATTTCGGTGGCATGAAGCTGGGTTAAGTCTTAACAGTACATGGTTTTCTTCCCAGGTTTACTTACAGTGTGGACTTTCTCGGGCCCCTGTCCTCAGAAGAATCCTGGCGATGGGCACATTGTTGGTCATGATGGCGATATCTAGAGGCGTCAGCCCCTCGCTGTTAGGTGTGTTGAGATCTAGTTCTTCCAGTGTGTACTGATACAGGAGGATCTGCACGGCATCTATGTCCTGTTGTTCGACTGCTTCGAACATGGCTTCATTGCCCTGGAAGTTCTGGAGGGCAAGAACACAAGCAGGTGAGCACAGCTTGCCTTGTGGCTTAGCTGTTCTGATGTCAGTGACTGCTCCCCACTTATAACTGCAGTTGTTAACACAGCTGGACCTTCCCTCCATCTTTCTAATGGGCACTGAATGGATCTGTATATTTAGATGCACTTAAGACCATACAGTACAGCATGGCTGGTCTACAGAGAAGAGCAAACATCAGCTTTCCTCAAACCAGTCTTTTGTGCAGTACTGTCTGATAGGTCATTACGAGGTGTTCTATGAAGAATGTAGCATGCAGTCATGTAAATTTGGTGCACACTGGATTAAGCTGGGTTATTGCATTATTTTACTGTAAGACCTCTCAGAGCCTTTAATAATTCTAACATGCAGTTATGCAGTTATGACTCTCCAACAGATGGGAAATATGACCTGTTTTAATATTTGTTCAGAGAACATGTTTTTGCTTTTTTTTTTTTTTATTGCATTTGTTTTAACTGCCCCTGGAAATAGTGTTCTATAGAGCACAGTTCAGGAAAATCTGGCATAGATAATGCAGCACAGGTCGCTGAAATGATGACTGGCTTGCAACTGAGAGCACGCTTTCCCCCCGACTCATCCCCTCCGCTCCCATCCCCATGTCCCTACTATCACTCAGACCCAGACCACTGTCATCCCTTGCCTGGACGACGGCAGGGACCTGCCTGTTGCTGGTCCTAGTGTCCTCCAGCCTGTGCTCCATACTGACACAAGAATAATACCACTAACGTCGATTACGTTACATACCCCTTCCTTCCTGCAACTCTCGAATAGCTCTCACTGCCTACAGGCCGGCTCCCCAGCTCCTACACTCCTCTGTACTAACCTCTGCAACTTCTCAGCCCAGAGCCCCAACCACTGAACACCTGGCAGTTCTGAGCCCTCAAGGGAAGGCCTCAAGAGGTGGTGTCCGGTGAGGGTTTCAGTGGCTGGGTAGCCAACTGTGCTGAGAGGGCCAAAAGCTGAATAATCATAGGATAAAAATCACCTATAGAAAAATAACAGCTAAGGACAATACAGTTACATTGAAAAGTTCTATCAGAGATTAATAGTAAACAAAGGAGAAAAGCTCTGGAATTCTCTCAAATATGTTATTTCTGCAGCTCATGGGAGAAGGGTAACAAATACACTATTTACACATCTATCCAGTATCTTCTCCAGGAATTGTTTGCTCTTTAAAAATGTTGAAATACCATTGGTCCTGACATAGCACAGGGCTCTTCTGATTAAACCGTGCAAGGTCTTCAGTGACCAAATATTTAGGTTGGCAGGGTTTATTTTTAGTATCTCCAAAAATCAATTATCTCCATCGAAGGCTGCAGGTCAGCCTAACTGAGCACATGACACATGATTGAAATTTGAGGGAAATACAGCGCTATTATGCAAATACATGTTTTGACAATGGGGTCCCCAGGGGTAGAACTATTTTTGGTATGCAGCTCTCTTTGCTACAGGAGAGTCTGCTGAATGGAGAAGTGTTTTGTCTACAGTCTGCCAAACGGAAGAGCCTCTGCTGCTGAGGCCGTAACTCAGCAACCGAACCCTCCCAGAAGATGAGCTGGAAATGAGACAACAAATGAGAAAACAGAGAGAACAAAGTTAGCATGCTGCCCTGTCCACAGTTGTGTATTTGTCTGTGATTCTTAGTATGCCTAATTTCTCATGTGCCATATTTGCTCTCACTCTTGAGTCATTTCCTCCTCCATGCTTTTGTTGGCAAACCCTAGCATGCTTCTCTCTGGAAAGGCTTGCGCTCATTTCTGTGTTAAGCTCAAACAAGTGGTGCCATTACCCCCTGCAGAAATGCCCTTGCCGAGCATGGTAATAATATGCCCTCAGCTCTTACCGAGGGTCGGTATCAGAAACTACTCTATGACAATGTCCGTAACATCACCAATATTGACCTTCCTTCTCTATCACACAATTCACTGTGGCATCTTATAAAGGCCAGAGGACTCAGCAATAGGAAAACACTCATGCTTCTGGTAGACTTTCAGTTATCAGCTAATGGGATGCTATAACCAAGTGGACTTCCCTTTCTGCTTTGACTGACTAGGAGCTCAGAGAGAAATGTCATGGTAAGTTTTAGGTACTATATTTGCTTAGGATTTTCTTATATCTATTTCTCTTTCTATCCCCATTATTTTCTAGTTTTTTCACTCCTTCCTTCCTCCCTTCTTTTCTCGCTCACTCTCTCCATCTCTATCACTTTATTTCCCATTATATAACACATACACATTTTTTTTTGCCTAGATTCTGTTTTGAATGCCTCTGGAAAAGCATATGGGCCATACATTATAAATAAGTAAATGAAATGTTCATTGTTCATTCAGTATCTGAATGAACACCGGAGCTCTCAAAAAGCCTATTTAATTCATGCTATTTGTCAAACTGCCATTTTGTTGTTGTTTCTTTGATACATTAGAGAAAGAAAAACTAAGAGAAAAGAAAGGCAAGAAATTAAGAAAAAGAAAGGGAAACTCTCACATTCACTCAAGTTTCAGCTCACAGCACAGACATGTGCATGTCCTATCTTCCCGACTCTCAGCACTTATAAAACTGCACATGCAGGTTCTGAAGTAAATGTGGAGCATCTTAGAATCTCTTCAAACCCAAACACAACTGCACCAATCAAGCAGAGACAAGAATAAAAACAGTGTTATTACCACTGAGGTCTTTCTGAGGCTCAGCCGGTCTGTTCTTGCTCGAAAATAGGCCTCGTCAAATGAAGAGTGGCTCCCCTTCAGTTTCTCAGAGAGGTTTCTGTACAGGCGTTTGGCAGCATTGGGAGACGATGGAGCACTATGTTTCTTCGACTGAGAAAGATGTAGATTCTGCATTTGTTGGGTCATTTTCACACGGCAGTTCCTAAGAGGAGGAAAATCTGATGTTGTATCATATACACAAGACAATTATAAGTTGACAAAGAATTTTATCATCACCAGTAACCATCTGGAATCCTAATAAAATACTGTAGCTGGAAGGGATCTTGAAGAGGTCCAGCTTTTTCATGTTATAGATGAGAAAGCTGAAACCCAGGGAGGGAAGCAGCTTGTTTATGGCCACATAACTAAGTGGGGGAAAGAATGAAAGGACAACATCCATTTACTATCTAAACATATACATTTACGTACAAACGTATATATGACATGAGCCTCTACTCAAGTCTTTCAGTCTCTATCCCACTGGGAGGAAGTATCTCAAATCTATAACCCAGGGGTTCTGTTCAGTTCCCCTTGGGTATATGTAATTGGGATCTTTCTACCTACCTCGTTTTAGATGCTGCCCTCTGTTGGGTGTGGTTGTTCCCTGCAGATACCCATTCTCTTGAGGTGTTCGACTATGCCTCTTGTCTGAGATTTGGTGAGCTACCTCAGTGCCCAAAAGTTTGGGGGATTTGTACCCATAGGTCCCTCCCTGCTCACCCCAGATACTGCAGACAGTGTCCTCCAGGGCACTCACTATTGGCATTCTCCATGCTGTACTTGACTGCTGTCCACAAATCTCTAAACAGGTCCTCACCAGTGTCATACTTGGAGTCAGTTTCCAGGAGATGAGCCATGCCATTTCAAAAGCCATCCACCATTAAGTTCGGTATTGCTACTGAAATATTGATGCTACCAAGGCCATGGCTGCCTGGCATGCATCTGTGCATTGAATGAGCAAATGCATAAATGAAATAACTGGCCGAGGCAGTTATGTGCCAAGTGTCTCCACCTCGGGGGAGCCTCCGGTAAACAGGGACCAGGTCTCTCTGGAGCACGCTGTTGCCTTCCCACCACCTCCCCTCAAATCTCTAATGGAGTCTTCCATTTGTAGTGCTGCCATTTCTATTTAGCTGTGGCCCTCACAGGTCATCTCCAGTCCTTGACTTTTCATAGTCTTATGGACCCCATTATACAATATCATGTAGAACCTCTTTTATTAACCCAACTCTTCACAGGATTGACTTCAAAGCTTCACCAACTTCTATAGGATAAATTGTAAGTTCTTTAGCCTCACATACAGGTGCGTGCCTCTCCATCCTCATCTCTTACTGTTCCTCTACGTTTTATGTTTCAGTCTTTCTGATTTCCTTAGGGTTTCCTAAATAGTTCAAACTCTTTCCTACCTCTGGGTGCTTGTTTGCACTACTTTTGCCTGTACTGGAATTCCATCTGTGCCTTCATCACCTAGGAAATGACTGATGATCCTTAAAGTCTATGCTCAAGTGCTCTCTGATAGCTGCAGGCAAATTTGTATTTACTCACTCACCTAGTATATGCCTCTTACAGAAAATATTTTATTGTTTTACAGCTGTTTGGCTTTCTGTCTCCTTGCTAGTCTGTATGCTTCTCAAGAACAAGGCCTGCCAAGTATTAATTTTTATACCTAAAATATGCCTGCCTCGAAGTACAAGAAATATAATACAGATTAGGCTATGAATTGCTTCTCTTCCAGCTACTGACTATGTGACCTTGGGTGAGTTACTTAACATATCTGAATCTTATTTTTCTCATTTGTAAAATAGGGATAATACTAACATCACTTTACAGTTATGAGGATTTGATGAGATAATGCATGTAGAGAGCTTAGAATACAGGAAAACTCATGGCAGCTATCATTTTTGTTACAGAAGATGTTCAATAAATACTTTAGAATAAATGAATGCTCATATGAGAGTCTATGACAAATAATATACTAAGGAACTACTCAGAAACCTCATTTCCTCCTCATGTTTCTGAACTGGGTTCCATATCTGCTGCGCCAACTAACTTTACTTACTTTCACTTTAACAAATGGAAAGCTATCCTCGTTACATTGTTGAATGTCTTTAGGAACCTTTTAAGTCTTGCCTGCAATCTCCTCCAACACAAATTACTTCTTGAGGTCCTCAGACCTATTCGGTTTTAGTCAACTGTATCAGGCCCCACTCAGTCTTAGCTAAATGGTCATATGTACATTTGGGAGGATGATTTAAAGCACTATCTGTAGTGTGTATGTACATATGGGTGTGTTTTCATCTTTAATAATCTTTTAATTTACACAAAAGCAGAAATAGAGGGGGTAGGTGATTTGGTATCTTTCTCGTTCCATCTACAGATCTTTAACTTTGATTCAATAGCAATTACAGCATTTCCTCTATATCTTGCTGTTCCCACAAAAATTCCAGATTGATATGCAAGCTGGCTCACATGGAGATTGCCTTAACCTCTTTCTTTCTGCCTTCTGTCTCTAGCCTTTTCCCTCAGCGTTAATGCCCCAGTTCAAGCCATCTGTCTTGTCTACATCATTATCATTCCCAAAATAACTCTACATTCTTTTGTATCTCACACAGTACCCAGGAGTCCAGTAAATAAATTCTTGTCGATTGATCAAATTCCAGTTACTTGCCCTCTAACTGATGACACCTACCCACATTGCCCCTTTTGTCTTTGCTCATCTCCCATCTGTTCCCTTCAGTCAAAATAGGTTGACTTTCTCTGTCTCTTTGACTTCCTTCTCATACTGCCCCAGCTGTCCCTTCCTTCCTGGCCATCTTTCAGCATGTTTCTATTCTTCTAGATTTCATCTATCATTATATTTTCTTCCCCCCCCCATATTTAAAATTTTGTCTGATGAAAGATATTGAGAAAGACACTCTGTATTATTTGTTCTCATAAACATGCACATCCCTCCCAACTGACTGTACTCTTAAATTTTTACCCTTTTAGAAAGATGCAAGCCTTTGAGAAGCAGTGTAGGTTTGGCTCTGGAATTTGGCAGACCCAAGCCTGGATCATCATATTGTTAACTATAATCTATGTGACTCTAGGAACTTTATTTAAATTCTCAGAGTTCATTTCATCATATATAACAAGAGTTCTTACAGAGTTGTGAAGATTAAATGAATTAACAAATGAAAGCATGTATCCTGTTTAATGCTAACAGCCACTCAATAAATAGCAGCAATTGGTAAAATTACCTCAATCTTCTTCTCAAACCAGAGACACCAAAGTATATTGGTAATGATTCAAATAGTTTTCTTGTTTGTTTTAAACATTGTTTTAAGATATGACTTTATGTACTTATTATACTATTTAGTTTTATTTTGATAGAAAATATAAGTTTAGATGTTTTTATATGGATGTTTACAGTAACTTATAGTAAAACAGAAAGTTGAACTTCAAACTATTAGTGGAAAGATAGGAATAAGGATAACCCTAAAGAAAAATTAAAAAATAAAGAGACCATAATAAATAGAAATGTAAAATGAAGTAGTAAGGATAAGATTGAATATATATGTGAGCACAATATACCCAAATGGTTTAATTTCCTAATAAAAGACAAAACTTTCCAACTGAGATTTTTTTTTTTAAAGTAGGCTCCATGCCAAGCATGGAACCCAACATGGGGCTTGAACTCACAACCCTGAGATCAAGACTTGAGCTGAAATCAAGAGTCAGACACTTAACCGACTGAGCCACCTAGGTGCCCCTCTAACTGAGATTACAAGTGGTGCACCTAAATAAACATTTCACAGAAAGATTAAAAATAAAAGAGTAGTATGACAGTGGGAATGGCAAAGTAATGACCTCCCCAAATCCTCTCCTCCATAAAAGCAATAAGAACACTAGCAGGAATTGTCAAAATTAACTTTCTCAGAACTCTGGAAATTAAAGGTTTTGCAACAATCCAAGAAGTGTTTATTTGAGAAAAGTGGCTGATTTGGTAAGAACAGTGAGCTTTGTGGCATTTTTAATCTGCTCAGTTCCTATCTTCCCCAGCTCTGTGGTAGCCTTGAAGACCATCAGTGTATATTCATGACAAAAAACAGGAGCTTGGCAGCCACTGGATGGTGCAGAATGGTGACAGAGCTCCTTCAAAACCCTATTTTGAGAGAATCATCATTATTTGACCTGACTGGTGGTTCCCTGGAAGACCCCACTCACAAGATTTTTCTTTATTTGACCTGCCTCAGAGTTCACAAAGTGCAAATAACCTTTTCCTCTAAGGCATTTTGTCAAAAACAAACATCAGCAATTGTTTAATCATCACAGCTGCCTGAGGTGGTAGGTAAAAGTTGGGGCAAACATTAGACTAACTGAAAACCTTAAAAGGAAATGTTGGGGAATGAGATGTCCATAGAAGACTTTGAAAAGCTCTGACACATTGCCAGGGATCTAGCAGACCACATGTATGCCCAGGGCTGGGAACATTCTCATAAAATACCTGAAAAAGTCCTAAGCTCTTATCTCTGATGTTGAGGCTATGTGCAAGCAGGAAGTGAAGGGTAAGGCAGGGCTATCAACTGCTGGTGAGTATGGAAAGTGTGCCCCAACATATGCACAGAGCCCTTCTGTAAAGACTGGAAGACTTACTGGCTTCCGGCATTTAAGGAAATTTTTGTTCAATCATTAGCTGATCACTAAGCTAACCAAGCAGAGACTTCAGTGGCCACTGAAGTGACAAAGAAGTGACAAAGAATACAGACTTCACAGATTTAATTCTGAAAAATCACTAAACAATAAACCCTAAGGAGGTGGGATAATCTGATTTCTAGAGTTGCCACATTATATTATTTAAGATGCCTAGATTTTAACAAGAAAAATATGAGACATGCACAAAACAAATAAAGAAAAATATGTCTGATTCACAGGAAATAAAGCAGTCAGTAAACACTGACCTGAAGAAAAGGACGCCATATTTAAAGAAATAAAGAATTGTGAGGGGGCGCCTGGGTGGCTCAGATGGTTAAGCATCTGCCTTCGGCTCAGGTCATGATCCCAGGGTCCTGGGATCGAGTCCCGCATCGGGCTCCCTG